AGAGATATATAGTATAAATTATTATTGGGTAAACTATCCAATTAATCTGGAAAGAAAGCGAATATGATGAATGTATCTAATTATAAATAAATTATATTAGAAAATAATTTTTTTAAGAGTTTATACAAACACACCAATATAACGATGGCATGGATATATGTGATTTGAAGTTTGAGGATTTTAATATGAAACTTTTTTAGTAATGGGCATCTAAAATAAATACCATATCTTTTTCAGTTTAATATCAAAATTCCGATTCTATATTAAAGAATTTATTTTTTTCAAAAATCTCCCCTTTATGAAAAGATCCTCAATAATGTCTAATATTAGAAATCAGTTTTAAAAAAAAACAACCTTCTTTTAGGTAGTAACCGCAATCTTTAATTAAATTTGTCAAAAGTAGAGTACCTAATTTTGAAATCTTGAAACTCATGTTGCTTGAGTGATAATTTTTGACAAAGTTAGCTAATACATCATAATTTTACAGATGTTACACCCGATGAAATACACCGAGTGATCCTGAACCGTTAATTTACACATAATAACACACACTCATGTGAATATGTACTTAGTGGTTAACATTTGTAGTGTTGGGATCAGTCGATACTTTTCATCGGGTGTAACATCTCATTAACGTTATCGGCATCTTTCCCTCTCTGTCATTAGGGTTGTAAATTGGACGGATCACATTGGAAATAGTACTTTAGATGCAAAAAAAATTGCAAAATTGAAAAAATAATTCCACTGTAAATTCCAAAAATGTTAAAAATCCAAATTTCAGAAATCAGAATAAAAAAACTTGTTCTACAATCGTATTTTTCATATCAAAATTGGCAGAAGTCGGATTTATTTTTATTCACCTCAAATATAAAATTTATATTATAAATGTGTCATCCACAAGTCCAAATCAATGAGACTAAAATCACATTGTTACGTAAGCAATCATAACAATAATGTGAAACGAAAATGAATAACTAAATGCAATAAATCATCCTTTTATTTGCTCTTTTTCTATTCCACACGCTATATTAAAAACAATTATTCTTTTGAGAAATTATGGTTGGGGATAATAGATAGAGATAAAAATTTAATTTGTTCATCCACGAGAGGAATGTGAAGTTGTTGCTTCTAAGGATTCGAAACCTTAAAAATATAGAAACACCTGCTCGTTTTAAATAATTAAATTAAATAATTGTAACCGTAAAGCAACATACTCTAATTTTTTTTTCTTTTTTGTTGGAACTATTGAATATTATAGTATGATGTGTTGGGTCGGGTAATTTTTAACTGTTGATGTAGTTAAATAACCACCAACTCAGCACACATACACATGGGTGTGTTTGATTATGTGCAGATTAACGGTTTGTAATTTATCGGGTGTAGCATCAAATAAACCGAGATATGTGACTTACAAAGTTTACGACGTTCCAAATTTTCAAAGGCCTTTCTCTCGATCATCATCTGCTATGATTTCTCATACAGATATTCAAGAACAACATACGTATGGACATACCTCAAATACAAGATTTTTTGCATGTTAAACGTCGCATGATTATATTTATATGGTACATTATATAAAAATAATATATAGAAAGAAAAAAAAAAGATGAGTTAAGATCGAACTCTAGCAAGACGAGCCCTTATTTCTTCCATATCTTCCTCATCGTCAATATTATTCTCCTGCAATCTCAAACAAAGGACTTCAGACAACGAAAAAAGCAAAAAAAAGAAAGGCGAAGCAGTGAGAAAAAAACATCATGGAATTTTGTGATATATATTATTACCTCATCAACTTGTTCAGTGGTAGCAGGTTGTTTGAGCTTCTCCTTTCTAGAAGCTTCCGGAAGTTGTGCGGCAGTCTCTCCAGCAATTGCTGTTAAGACCTTCTCGATTTCTTCTTCCGTTTCCTCTTCTATGTCTTCCGAATCGAGTGCATTGTCCAAAGAATCATTCATCATCTCTTCAATCACACCAGCCTGCAATAAAACAATAGATCCTTCAAATTACTTCCAAGATTCATTAATTTTTTTGGAAAACAAAATATTCCATAAACAAATCCCACAACTGCGGAGCGACCCACATAAAGTTATTAGAGTAACCAAACATCAATTAAGGTCCGCAATCATTTAACTAATCATGGTTAATATTAGAGGGTCCAAAAATGATACTGCTTAATCAAGGTTAATGGATGTTTTTACATATAACAAGACCTGTTAAGGAATAGTTTTTTGAACTCTCGTATTCAATTTCAACAGAAAGCCACAAAAAAATGAAAAACAATTTCAGGTAACACGTGATCACGTAAACACCAAGTGCTTACAATATAGGTATTTCAGAACTCCGAATAAAATAATCTATATATTAAAGATAACCAGCACATGTTCTTTATGAATATATGACTTTAACAGAAATAATATTGCTAACGAAAGGTTAAAAGTGAGTCCAAAAATACGAGCCTTAAGAATCTGTATTTTGCGAGGAAAAAGCAAAATTACCTTAGTCATTTCTTTACTGAATTCAATCATGGTGACAGCTACCTCCGGAGCCTTCATAAGATTATTGACAATCTTCATCACTTCAGCACTTTTCGACAAATGTCCCACAGTTCGAGCAATAGCTGACGAATCAATAATAGACAATCAACGAGAAATACTAGGAGAAAAAAAAGAAAAAGGGAAAAAAAAAACCCTACGAAAACGACAAGACTGAAAGAAAAAGAACACCCTCTACAGAATTAACATGTTCATCCACCCCAAAAATCATATCATTCTTGCCGATCTTTCGAGTTTTTTGTAAACCAAGTGGTGTATAACAAAATTAGATGCACACAGCAGTTACAATTGTCTTTAATTTCCACTTACTAAGCCTTAACATATCAAGTTTCGTGTTTCCGAGTTTTTGAGACAGCTAGAAAAAGTGAAGTGAGAGTAAATTCTCATCAATTATGCTATAATCGTCAAAATAATTAGGGAAGCAGATTAGAGGGACTATTTGACGGTAGGCTACCAATTTCTTCTCGATTGATATACAGGTCAAATTATTTTGGCGATTTTAAGAATATGCCTTTCCACGAAGTCGATAACTGCTCATATAAGCGTACGAAATCTTACCACCAAAACTGTTAGCACTTGATCACTAAACTAGTTACAAGGTTTTCCAAATCACACTTAAATATTGAAATAAGTATGAATAATATGCATGGCTGAACTAGGTCATTATAACTTGAAAACGAAGCAAGAGTACAAAAACAAATAAGTGAAAACGAAGAAGGTTTTTATACCAACACTTTCTCCAAGATGCATTGATATCGAATTCAACTGCGCCTTGTTCTCGTAAAGTCTATTCACGGTTTGCCTCGATCTCACAATTTCTTTAGCGAGTGACTGCAATTAGAAGTCATCAACGAAGCATATCGGACGCATAAATCGGCACATGTAAACTATTAAAGCTTCTTTAAGATCATATTCATCATACAAAAATCTAAAGCATTCAACTCCCATTTCAACATATACCCAATCGAAAAACAGTCCACTAAAAACGATAACACATAAACGCGATTAATAACATGGAAACGCAGATGCAAAACATCAATTCAAACGCCGAAAAAATCAATCCGAAATAAATTGGATAATTATTAGACAATTGAATAAAATTAGCACCTTAGCTGAACCCATGTCGTTTCTTTTAGCAGCCTCTTTGATGGCTTTCTGAACATTTTTCTCTTCCCTCTGTATATCTAAACAAAACCCCCCACCGAAATTAACTCAAACTTTTCATCAAACACTTAGCGAGCAAATAAAAAAACGAACAAAAAAGCAGAAAATAAACATAAACCCTATATCATGATATGTAGAGATGTAAACAATGACCTCGAATTTGGCGCTCGATATTGCGGCATTCGTTGCGGAGGCGGCGCTGCCAATCTCTTAGCAATTGCTGTGGATTAGGTTTTGGTTTCAATATATTCATCACTTTTTCCATTTTTTTTTTAATCTTTGATTGAATTTCTCGCCGAGCAAAATACTGAATTTCCCTGCAAAATTAATGCTGATGCGCTGCGGATTTTTTACAACAAGAATCTCAATTCTGGAGAAGATAATGAGGGATGATTTTCTGGCAACCACAAAAGAAGAAAAGTAAAATAATTAAAAAAAAAGTGGAGTTGATCGGAAAAAATAAAAAAAAAATGGGTTGTTCCTCCACTATTGTGTTCGATTCTTATACTTATATTTT